TTTTTTTTTTTTTAATGTGACATAGTTATTGAAAATAATTGAAAATAACTGGTAAATATCCCCCACCCCACCCCCAGTAGAAAGCTAGGGCCTTACAGTAGCTAGCATAGTATAGGTCAGAGACAAAACATTTTGGAATTTATTGAATTTAACTGTTGCCAAAGTTGAAGTCTAGACATGTATCAACACTTTCAGCACAATACTTATTCAAAATGAATAAATCAAGATCTATAAATAAAAATTTTCCTACCAAAAATAAACCAATGAAAAGCAATAAAAATAAAATAATAAATAGAACTTAATGTCAAACAAAAGAAAAAATATTTATCTATAGTTWAAAATGTGGCAATAAAACATAACAGGAAAATTAAAGGGCCATCTATTACGACATGAGGATCAAAAGTACTATGACTAAAATTACTGCCATTATCGTTGAAGTGTGACCCACAAAGTTTAATGTCTCATTCACAAACTAAGCATTGAACTACTGTCGATAGAAGAACTGCAGTAAAGAAACAATATCTTAAGGGACATTTTGGACTAAATTAAAGATTTTAGAGGATTAGAAGATTACCGGTAAAATTTGTAATTCAGTCTAAAATCTGCCTTAAGACATTTTTTGGCAGTTCTTTGATTGACTGTCCTTGAAATGTTAGTCGACGAATAAGACATCAAACTTGTGGGTCACACTTCAACAATAATGGTAGTAATGTATTCGTATACATGTACTTATGCACAGGCTTTTTGCTGCCAAACAAACTTTAGCAATGCCTTATTTGGTGAAACCAGCCAGCTTCACCTTCAAATCTGGTTACAAAAACCTGCATGCATAAAAGTATGCGAATATATTATTGGCAGTCATTATTTTTCATTGGAGGAAAAACCAACTTCAATTTGGCATGCATGCACAGTTCTAGTTTTTCTTACCATCGTTGCTCCTTGCTCATTTTTTTGATCAAGATCCATGTCTTCATTAGATTGCATTTTCAGATCAGACAACATTTTCTTTTCTTCTTCTCGTTTCAATTGCATTAATTTTTCTTTCGTGTATCCTAAAAAGATATGATAGAAAATTTAAGGTGAGATACAGATTGTTGTTCCATTTAAGTGAAGTAAATCAAAGTTATAAAAGATATCCATCGTATCTTGTCATGATTGCAAGCAAGGTGGCATGGGTGGCATAGTGCTTTATAGCTTGCCTAAACACTGCTGTGGTACAGATTCAATCCCTGGCTTCATTCTTCCATAAAAATCAACATGTGAGTTAAGTGTTGTATAATGTAATATATACAATGTGGTGGTGCATGTGGACTCGACAATGGAACCTCCCGGAAGAGCCAGCCCTATACAGAGAATGGTGGTTGTCATGACAATGGAACCACCTGGAAGAGCCAGCCCCATACAGAGAATGGTGGTTGTCATGACAAGGAAACCTCCTGGAAGAGCCAGCCCCGTACAGAGAATGGTGGTTGTCATGACAAGGGAACCTCACGGAAGAGTCCCGTACAGAGAATGGTGGTTGTAAAATATATATATTGCCCTAAAATTATCTAAAATCATGCTAAATGAATGTTTTTGTAAAGCTTTACTACTGTTTAATAAGTTTTATTTATGGTATTGGTTTGACAATTCCCTTAATGTTTGGTAGTGATTGGACTTCAACACTGGGCAACTGAACCTTATATTACCAGAGAAAGTACCACTACTCTGGACGTCAGTTTGGTTCGGGCGACTGAGATTGAGATTGAGAGAGTGGTGCTCAACTTATAAACTTGTGGTGCTTTCCAGAAGTTTAACATCACTAAATGCCCACACTTTCCAATTCATCACTGTGACCACTGGGCTTTGTACTGTATAGTTATAAAGCATATATATGTGGGATTGGCACAGTACTTTGTCACATGTCAAGCTTCTCCAAACATTTATATCATGCTCTGTCACTGAATCAATGCAGGCTTTATAACTGCACACAACAAATGTGCAGGTTTTCTAATACTGTATACAAGTTTAGTTTATTTTATTTTATTTTTTTTCAACATCAGAGGAATTGCATTTTACCAGGTCATATCAGTCTTGGTCTGCCTGTCATAGTTTGTCTGTCTGCCTGCCTGCCTGCCTGCCTGCCTGCCTGTCTGTCTGTCTGTCTGTCTGCCTGCCTGCTTGACATGAAGATATGTACATATAGATGAAACTATACCTTGTTCCTCCATCTCAGCTTCAAGAATCTCTCTCAGCTCCTCATCATCCTCAGCTAAATCTATCGGCATATTCCCATCAGCATTTATAGCAACAATATTAGCTCCTTGGTCCAGGAGATATTCCACTATATCTTCATTACCGCAAGCTGTAGCGGCATGGAGTGGAGTCCATAATTCTCTGTCCACACTGTCTAGGATAGCACCATGATCAAGCAGGATGTCAATGATTTCTTCTCTTCCATCAATACAAGCCTGAAAAAAGAAAAAAAAAGAGTTTATAATCATAAAATATAACATAAAAATTTTCTAACTACGACATACGCAGCCTTGGAACAGTAGAGCAAGAGAAAAGCAACATGATACTAGCACTGTGTCTCACCAAGTCTCTCTTTCTCTCTCCAGCCTGCTCATTAAAAATATATGCCCTCATCTTGAGAATTCTCTAAGGGGTGACTAACTCCCACCCACTGCCTGGTTCCACCCTTATGCAAAGATCTACTCTATTTATGGGTGGTGTACATGTACACTGCTAACTCACTGTCTTTCACCACTGTGGGTCGCCACTGAGTTTACTTTATGTGTTGTTCTTTCCTAAGCTACAAGGGTTTTTTATTTTATTTCTTTGTTTGATCTCTGCTATATTACGTATTACAAAAAAAATGCATAAAAAAGGAATAAGACATAATACGAAATATTATACAATACTTGCATATAAAAATGAAGAGATGACTACATTTGTCATTGATAAGTGTATTAAGACCTCTCCAAACTAATTAAGGGCTTATTAATAGGGGCTAATGAGAGCTAATAAATAAAATAAATAAATAAATAATAAATAAAATATGAAAGTCTCCTTGAGGAATATAGGTTAATTTAATTAGATATACTATCTAATCTAATCTAATGCGTTTACCACTCCTGGGTGGACAGCTGGTGCCTAACAGGCCTTGTGACCCAATTGATAAGGCAGCTGGTTAGCACGGCTTTATTACTGCTCCATTCAGTAATAAAATATGCAAAGATGACTTAACCATGAAAGAAGTTTAAGGAGAAGTGTAAGGAGCCGTAGGCAAGTGCTTCTTGCACTTCTTTCATGCTTATGGCGCTGCTTCCTAAGTGCTTTATTACTGAATGAAGCACAGAAAAAGCTGTTTTATTCGTTTTATCATATAGTTACTAATTTAATTTCGATATTGAATTTATTTAAGTAAAAAGAAAGAAGGTTACAGGATCTAGCAGAACTTGCATGCAGATAGCATCAGATAAAGCACAGTTTTCGACCAATCAGTGCTTGGTACCATTCTAACTATACAATATAACTTTACATGACTATATATTTCTCTGAGTTCTCCTGTTTTCCTCCCTCAACAAAAATCAACATGTGAGTTGAGCGTTGTGTGCATAGAATATTGAATGTAGCGGTAGTGTGTGTGAGTAAAAAGTCCACAATTATAGTACAAAAGCTCTAGAACACTTAAATAAAAATTGGGAAGCACGGGTGGCGTAGCTGTGAAAATGCTCGCCAGTGTCGTATGTGAGCATAGAGTTGCTTGTTGGTTCTCTCCTGTGCTTTGAGGGTTTTCCGGGTTCCCTGCTTTCCTCCCTCCATAAAAATCAACTTCTAAATTCCAATTGGAATCCAGTGGAAGAAGAGCCACTCTGTGGAATCCATTATATTATTATTATTATTCATTATTATAAAAATATATTTCTATTTTATCTAAAGATTACTAGAGTGAATATAGATTTTTTATTTATTATCCCTCTATTTAGCATTGACCCTCAGTCAAGTGGCTGCTAAAGAGAGGTATTGTATTGTATCTTTAACCTGAATAAACAAACTTTTATAGCACTTGAACTGTGGTAACTCAATACACTTTTTTTCATATGCTGTTTTGGCTAATTTCTAATCCATCAATTTTCACTTTCTAAATTATTAAATGTTCAAAAAACACAAGAAAATCTTACCCTAAATATGTTATCATGACACCATAATTCCATTTGCGTATAGTTCAATCTGTGAGTTAGCAGTGCCTTGACTTAGGAGCCAGCCCGTACTGCTCAGAACGAGTTAAATGATTGGATTAAAAAACAATAGATTGGTCATCCGAATAATGGCACTAAACCTAACCTTACAAAAGCGGTACTGTAATTAGGGAGCAATGAAAATGCCGCTTTCAAGTGGTACTGGATTACTCTGACTTACTCTGAGATCAGCCCATAGGTTGTTTTGGAACTGGGTTCAATCTGTTAGTCATATATGTTACCTGTGCCCTGACTTTAATCAGACAGAAGGTTGTTTCAGAGTTCAATAAAATTGGAAAGCTTGAATGATCTAAAGACGTTTATATATCACAGCTATATTTCTCTAATTTGACTATCTAAGCAATCAATTAACCAAGGTAATTTTTTTTAATTAACTAATAATATTTAGTTTAAAAATGCAAATTCTACACAGGATAAAATTGAAAATGTACTAAGTAACAATATCTTTGTATTCATAATTTATTAATGAGGTCATTTTAGGGCAAGAATTTCAAATAGGCATATGAACATAATATGCAGACCAACTGAAAGAAAGGTCACATTTTGGGAATATTACAGGTGAGTCATACATACTAAAGATGACCCAATATAGTTATGAACTATATATGATCCATAACAAAATTACTAAGGTCATGAAGCTATAAAAATGTACATACACGCCTAACATAATTACAAGAACTAGCTGTATTAGATAAAATTAGCAAAAAACTAAAATAGCAAATAGAAATTAATTATCTTGCTATAAATGTAAAAAATATATATAATTTTTCGTTAAAAATATAAATCTCCTACGGCTTTGTACTGCATATTACTCAGGGGAGCTTTTATTTTACAGTGAAGTGATTTATTACAAAAAAGGATACAAAGTACAAGAATAGAGTTTACATTGCTAATCATTCCTACACTGTACTTTACATTCTTTTTGTATTTTCTGCTACTGTAAGTTCAACTTCTAATTTATTTCTCTTCAATTTTGCTTTTTTCCCCCTCCAATTTTGCTTTTTTACATGAAAGCCTTCTTGAGATTATGTGTGATATACTGTGTAATCCATATCAACACAAAACTTAATTCCCAGCAGTACATATATAAATAATTATTGTAACAAATTAAAGTTTGAAATCACATGCATTAGTTAGTAACATTAATAATGACATTTTCTCAGAGATCTGTACAATGTCTATGCAATATTAAGTAGATGTTGGTAAATAATCTCGAGCATTATCAAATCAATCATATCAAAGTTAAAATCAAACAAAAATTATAATTATAACTCCTATGATGATGAGCCATAATATAACTACAATCCTTTGTCAAAGAAGAAGCTTATAGAATAAATTCCTACTTTTTGTAGGCCAAAAAACCTATAATAGTTATTAAACGCATATTGAAATAAGTATATGTGCAGTAAAGAAATGAAAATAACTCTCCAAACAACATTCCAGTTATCTAATTTTTAATATGACTTCATTAGGGAAATTAACTTTTTGAAAAGTAAATTGAAAATTCATTTCAGTTCTTGTACATAAGTCAATGTATTTTTTTTTTACTCGAATTCAAGTCTAAACTCGTAGGTTTTTAGCTCAAGATTTTTCTAGCTGATTCTAAGTTCTTCATAGTTGAGGAATCTTGGGAGGCTTTAATAACAAAATCATGAATTGTTTGACATCAAGAATTTTGACAAACGAGATTTTGAGTAATGTGAAGTAGACTCGGGATACCCACGGATGAACACACAACTTTACCAGAAAAATCGAACTGGTTTACACACTCCAAACAAGTCACGATCGCTAAGAACAAATACAATTCTACTCCGTTAAGAATTTGCAATCCTAATGATGATGGAATCTCGACGATCAAATCTATCAAGTGTAGTTCTCATGCTTGGTTATAAAAAGTTTTTTTACCTGATGTAGCGCTGTTAATCCATCGTCGTTACAAATGTTAGGATCAACGCCACCGTCGAGCATCGATTTGACTGAAATTAAAAATTCAAACTCGTAAATAAATATTTTATTAGCAAGAAAAGTTAGTATAGGTATTGTTGGTAGATGAAGTGATGAAAAATATAGTATTTGAGGACGAGAAGTCGCGGTTGTCTTTGGTTCGTACCTTCGTCTACGTCTCCCCTAGTTGCTGCGTCCAGAAGCGTGAATTGAGGTTCAAAAGTCAATGGTTTAGTCCGAAATTTCTTTTTCCTTGGAGGAGGACCGGAGTCTGAATCCTTTTCTCTCTCCCATCTTTTGATCTGCTGAGCTCGTCTTTTTTTAGCGTACTCTAAACGTTCTTGCACTGTAAGTTTTTCAACTTTCGGAATCTCGGCCACCAACTCAAGGTGCTCGGCCATTTTGACTCAAAATATCTCGCTTGGATTGCGGATTTTGAGGGTCGTGAAAACGCTTAAATATGCTTTAAATATCGATGCTACTGTGGCATTTTTCTTATGGAGGGAGAGTTAATCCTTTGAGGGAAATATTTGGATCTCCTGACGGCATGTCAACTACGAAGTCCTTCCAAGTCTAATGACAACTTTGCTTTGTACGCAAAATGGGTTGGTTGCCATATATGGACAGGGCGATTCCACACGACGATCTTATCCACTTCCGGTTAAATTAAATCACACACTGGCCTCTAAGATGAAAAAAAATTATTCTAAAGCTAAGAAAAATCACCACTAGTGAATCATAAACATCATATCCTACATGCTATCAAATTTATTTAAAAAATACTAATTTTTATAGCGATTCTCCTAGGCTGATCAGACCAGACTATGAATTCTGAAAAAAAACCTTCACTTCCGGTTTGTGCAAATTCTGTATTCAAACCACGAAATGTTGAGATCTTTCTCTAAAAATAAGAAGAACTACGTACTTTCGTACTTTAAATCACACTGACTTCAACTGTTAATTTTATCATTGATATTATCTAGTGTTCGAGTCTAAGTCAATAATAGAACCACTCGGAAAAAATTGTACTACATCACTTCCGGTTAGAGCAATGTTTTGACCACAGCTCGAAATCAGCAACTGATACCAAACACTTTCAAAATGAATAAATATATCATCATAAACTTTAGGAAAAATTCCTTCATATATTTTCTTGTTTCATACTGTTTGTTTAATGAACTATGTTTCTTAGTAACTAAACTGGTCCAAGCTCGTTCGCTCGTGTCCGATCCGAAAATACAATTTAGATCTTCAACCACCGGAAGTAGCTAATACGTGTTTACTTTTCTCTATTCAAACTAAAGGATATTATAACTTGGTCTAGCTTATTTGCGTCGATTCATGGTATTCATCAACGTTACAATTATTCTTTGTATCAATACTAGATATAATTTATATATAACTGATTTATTCATGAGATTTAACTATTTATAATATCACTCTGATTAGGACGCTTCTTCTATTGGCTATCTCTAATATTAATTACATAAAGTTAAGTATTAACCTCATATGAAGCTAGCCAAAAACGCTGTTTCGATTCGTAGCTTACCCGGACACGAAATAAAAATGGAATTACGTCTGCCTATAGACGAGAAAGAGAGTGCCACTACACTTTTATATGTCGTAACAGCAAACTTTGTTGCAATCAAGGAACGAACGAAAGACAAAAAGAAACAGTACGTCTTTGTTTTCAACGTAGATTGGTCAGATGGTACGAGTAGCGTTGTGTGGAGGAGTTACAGCGAGTTCTTTGATCTGCAGTGCCGGCTATTAGACTCGTTTCCCGAGGAAGCTGGGAGTAAGAGGAGGGCTAGAATCATTCCATACCTTCCAGGTAAGATTTGATATGTAACTAAGAGAAATGGGTAAATTATTACCGGTATCAACAGTTGAGTAATACGACATTAACATAAGGAGTAGCATGTCAGAGCTGATTGCCTCTATTAGTGACAGACCCTTAGATAATTTATGGGGGGGTGGGATTCTGTAAAACCCCCCAAAAAGATCGAGCAAGCACTTCACCTACGAAAAAAACGTCGTGCAACCTCTCCTTTCAGTAAAGAAATACAGTATTGAGCAAACACAAATAAATACTTTCAGGGGTTGGTACAGAACTTAAATATTGTGCAACATAATTTCCTGCAATCTCCCTCCCCCCCTCAATTATCTAATGGTCCATCCCTTAGTAAAGCAGTCTTCTCCCATCCCTGCTGAGAGGCTTGGGGGTAGTAATTTTTCAAGACAGTTGCCAACTTAGCGCTGATAAACTTGTGGCCCTCTATTTGGATGTTTCTGAATAATATACATTTATACATAATATCATAAGAGCCACAGCAAATAAAGGATGTCATTAATATTCCGCAATATCGAGGGGAAGCCCAAATAAATATTAGATTTATATAGGGGGGCTATCAATCCCAAAAGGATGTTGTCAGAATCCACACATCCCCCATCCCATAAATTACCTAGCTGGTTTTGGGATGAACTGAATTTTTCAAGCATATTCTAAGATTACAGATGAAGAAAAAATTGAAAGTGTTTTGGTTTTTGTTGTCACTAGTATCATAAAGGACAAACTAGCACACTTTAATCATTTGGGCTATCCAACAGCTGAACTTTTATCAGCATTAGTCTGCATAGACAGGTAGTCAGGCTACATAAATTATTCATATAAAATCTTTTTAATTTTTTTTTTTTTTTTTTCTTTTCAGGGAGACAAATTTTCAAGAAGAGTGACAGTCACCTTGCAGAAGAAAGGAGACCCCATTTGATCAAATATACCAATGAAATTCTTATGCTGCCCAAGAACATTTCTCAGGGTCCAATTGTTGTGTCTTTCTTCCACAAAAGAAAGGGTGACCCAGTATGCTTCAACCAATTCCCTTCAAAACTGAACACCAAGTTAGAATTTCAATTGTGGACATCTCCAACAAAGGAAGAAATTCAGCAACCAGAAACAAATGAAGTAAATGACAGTGAAAATCAAGATGGACATGATGCATTTGGTCAAGTGAATTTGTCATATGAAAGATCTTTAAGTGTCGGCAATAGAAATTACATTAAGAAAGACAGTTGACTTGAAACTTATTTTATTTCTATAACAAATTTTGTAAGAAGGTTTTGATTATGATTATTAACTTTATTTTATGAAATTATTTTAATAGTAGCATGAGACTCTTGAGAGGTTTTCAGCCCATACATAGAATAGGAATTAAGATGGTGACCAAGGACAGCGAAGTGTTTTTGAAAGTGGGGGGAAAGGAGGAGTGGGGCTCAACTATCCCTCAGGCAACACTATGTGGAATTTAAGCCTTGTTTCGGAAATGCAAAATTTTCCTTTGACTATATAACATGGTAAATAATACAGTAAAAATATTTCTCCAGAACCCACAGCTCCTCCTAACCCCTCCCCCCTCCCCCCTCTCTCCTTGTCTCCACCGTCTCTGGAAGGATGAATGAGGTCCCCAGGGAGGGTACTCCCACATATGGACTATACGGGGATGATATACTGAACAGGGTATGGTTTTTCGAGCTTCTTGTCATAAACAGGGTATGCAATTTTCCTCAAATTCCAAGTTTTTCCTGAGTTTCCTTTCATATTCAGGGTTTCTACTTTCGTATTGACCGAAACTGGTCATTATGGTCATAAAAAAACAATACACGAGATGACATAATAATTGAAACAGGAACTCAGTGCAATAAATTATATCTTTTGTCATAAACAGGGTCTACAAATTTGAGTTTTTTCGTCATAAACAGGCCTAGGGTACCCCTTTCAGAATCCCAGCAGAACACCCCTACCCAAATTCTGGTGGAGTACCCCCCGGGATAAGGTCAAACAAAGCACTCAATGTCTTGCCAATTATAGACCTAATTTGTCTTGGCGTAATGTTTACCAGTTCAGACCAATTGTCATTCCATTAAGAATAGGATTCTTTAATTTGAATTTTATCCATATAGCTAATTTTAAAATGTTATTGTGAACTGGCTGAAGCCTATGCGACTAGACTCAAAAGAACTATGGGTAGAAATCACTGAGGCATGCAGCTTACTGCTGTATCTGATTATATATGCCCTAGGGTTTACATAAATATGGACCCTGGCTAGCAAATGACCAGTATTGAAGGAGATAGTCTTTTAATACCTTCATATTTTCGAAATTTGGAACATAACCTTTAGACCATTAATTTTCATTTTGCAAAACCAGAAGACATACATTATTATTATTAGTCGGTGTAAACAACTTATTCAGAGTGGTTTCTTTGCTTCAGTTATTTCTACCCATACTCCCTTTCAGTCCAGTTGCACAGGCATGAGCCGGTGGACCACAACATTTTTTGAATTGACTGTATTCATTTGTCTTCTCATGTGCACCCTTTAAACAATTTAAAGACATGATACTCTTGGGAATGACACATGGCCTGTAATGCATGGTTAAACATGGTTATACCCATGTAAGAATTAGCTGGTAACATTCAGTCAGAACGCCCTGAAACCATCCAAGCCTTATTTAATCAATAATCAATAATAGAATATAAAATGACCACTATTGAATGCATGTTGACTAGAGATAAATCGACAACATGCACTCCTACAAAAATATTCCTTGGCATAAGGATAAAAATGTACATACAGACGTTACAAATATATATATTGTGTGCTCAAATAAACAACCCCAAAAATACAAGAAAAAACTGATTGATTGAAGCTTAGAATACAACAGCTGATCATGAATATCAAGAAAACTACAATATTATTAGAAAAATACCATTATGATATGCAGCCCAGAACACTACCCACAACTCATGTACTGAAAATGTTTCATACCAACATGATATTGATGGTATCATGATTACTATAAATTTGATCAGGAGAGATTTGCCACCTATAATAATATAAACCCATACTATCTGCTCATAATTTCCTTACAATTGTAGAATCATGAGACAAAACAATTTTGAGCTGCCAAAAAGAGTTTATATTGACGGTATTGGAAGAAAATATATCCTGTATTTGTCCTGTTCTGGCAGTCGGCCAATATGGGATAAATTTTCTCCAAACTATAGCCACCAATATGAACCTGTATTTTGCAGCTCAAAAATTGCAATAATTCATAAGAATTGTCTGGATGATGTAAGTAAGCCTGACCATAGAAATGACTTCTCATTCCATGAACAATGCTATCAGTTTCA